TGCATTACCGCCACCTATCTCTCAAATGGACCATTGACACTCTATCTACAATCTCAATTAGGAGTGTCAATGGTCCATTTGAGCGATAGGTAGCGGTAATGCACTTATAAGTCTGCGATCCGCCCTAAAACAAGAAGACGACGTGTCTGAGAATGCGTTAAAAATCTTTGTTTGTGAAAAGTTACAAATCTTCATTTGTGTTCTACTGAAGAAACAAAGTCACCTACATCTTGGATGCCCTGAGGGTAAGCAGATAAACATCAAAATTTCATTTTTGGGTGAACTATCCCTTTAAGAGAACAAATATAGTCTAAATATAGTCTAAACTAAATATATTAAGTCAAAAATTAATCAGTATTTAAAGTAAGCTGTTGGGTTCCTTCCTTCCTACCGGACACCCATTTTGCAGTCCATGATGACAGGATTTTTGAGCCCGCTAAGCAGATCTTCTAGTCGGATGTATCGCTGTCCATCCTGACTGATGTGCCCGAAATAATGAGGCACGAACTGACAGAGTGCATCAGACATAAGGGCCTGTAGACAGATGGCCTCCACCTCACAAAACCTCTTCAGCACCTCGCCGCCCTCACTCAGCCTCACGTTACCTAGACAGAACGTACAAAACAAATTTTCTGTCTTCAAAATACTGGTCATGGACAAGGCAGATACAAAAGAAATGTTCAAACCTATTTTACTTCTATAACCTAATGTATTTTGATAGAAAGTGAAGGTATGGTCAGGGTCAAAATCCTGAGTACCTTGGTGTCCTGCTAGCTGGATCCATGAGCTTTGTGTATGTTTGGACCACTGCATCATGGTCAAAAACGTTCTCCAAGATCGACACTGGGAAAGAAATGGGAGTCATTTAGTGGCAGGGATCTAACAGTACCTTAAAAACAAATAGTTGGGTTTCATTTTCCAAATTTGTTCATAAAATAGCATGCTTTACAGTTATACTCTACCCATTGTGAAACTGTTCAGACCCATAGACATTGCCCACTGCTTGTCCATTATGGGGTATATTGCGTGTTTATCAAGTATGATATTTGAAGATAAGTTGAATTTGTTTTGGGAATATTGCAGATGTGACAGTAACATGCTACTCTAGCATCTCGGTCTACAGTACTATGCAAATAGCTTATTCAAATACGCAATGTTATGGGTACACTTTCAGAATCATGCAAATTGTCTGATACATTTCAGTGCACCGAAAAAATACAGAACATTTCTGTTAGTCCACAGGTTAGACTGAACCTGACACCAGTTCACTGGTCCTGAGAGATTCTGCAGAATCTAGATAAACTGCTTTGTGCTTTCTAAGCCTTCCCAGAGTTCCACTCACCTTCTTCATGGTCTGCCTCCTGGCAACAGTGTCCTCATTTTCACTGAAAACCTCATCACTTTCTGCTGAGGAGTTGTTGAAGGAAGACGAGGACAAAGCTGAGGAGTGAAAGAGAACCCGAGAGAGAACAGGGTGTGGAACTAATTCTTCCTCACCATCTTTCTCCATACTTTCCTTCACATAATGTTCTCCATCCCGTGATGACCCAAGCATTTGTGCGTTTCTCTGTCTTGAACCCCAACTCTTCTTCCTGTGCAGTCGTTTGTTGCTGAAATCTCCCTCGTTACTCTCATCGATACTCTCCAGACTTGCTCCCAGCCTTTCCTGCATCCCTTCCTTCAGTCTTTCCCTCAGTTCGAGCTTGCTTCTCCACAGGCTTTTCCTAGTTGCTGCATTCAACGTCACTTTTGAACCCTCTTCAACAAGATTTTCACTTGCCGTCACCCTCTCTTTCACTTTCTGCTCTTCTACGTCTTTGTCCTGGGTCGTTTCTCCTGCAGGTATTGGTAGAGGATCCATGCAAATGCGCTCCGGAGGTTCTGGTTTCATATCCTCTGCTTCCTCATATGCATTTGTCTGCATTTCTGCTGGATCTTCTAGCTTGGATGAAAGGACGGCATTAGCAGAAGCCAGTTTAGGTCTGGCTCTGAAGCCAGTTTTCTTGATATGATTACTTTGATTGATTGAGGATGGTGAGAAATCAAAAATCCTTTCTTCTATGGCATCTCTCATGCTCTCCCCATCACTTCCATTGCTCTTCTTCTCTGACAATGTGCTCATTCTTTTTGGAGGAGAATCCAAGTCTTTCATGAAGCCGCTTGGAGGAAAATTTTCATCAGAAATGGATGAAACTCCTGTTTTGTTATGTTGAGCTCTAGAAGAGAATCTGATGGGATAAACAAAATCATTGTTTGATAAATCATACCTAAAGATGACAGATGACAGATGAATAGACAGATGACATCTTAACAACATAATACAATATTCAATATCTTAATAATATTGTTATTTAAAGAGGCACATCATGTAGGGAATTTCCTGGACATATACAAAGCCTCGGTCTAAAAAAATATTGCCGTCACTTGTGGTTTCCTATAGAAATAGATAAAAATAAGCATTATCTTGTCCAGGAAATAGCCCACATATGCTAAGTGGCACAAAGTTCAAAACAATTACTTGTAGGGGGAAAAAGCACATACTCCCACGTACCCGAGTTGCCAATCTTTCATCACTCCTGTGTGTTAAACTGAACCCACCAGTAGTTCAGCGCCAAAGACTCGACACCAGTTTAAACTCTTGCTGTCAACGTTTTCCAGCAGTGCTTTGCATAATGTGACATCATGGTTTTCCACAACATATCTGACAATAAGCTCTTTCGAGGTTGGTGCCGACGGCTGGCCCACACTCTCTCTAGTGTCGACAACTCAGCAGACTCTGGCAAATACGTCATATACAGCATGTGTTTTCATGTGGTAGATTGTTTCAGCTGTGATGAATTAATTTGATCAGCATGCAAATTTCCCAGGAATTGAACCTAGTGACTTGCTATACCATTTACAGTAAGATTTAGATTAAAAAAAAAAAAAGTGTTTTTCGGTGGATATACATCTTGCCACAAATTGTAATTTAATTTGGAGTCTTATTAAATGCTCTCTACAATTGTGCAGTATATTTATTTATAAAATCAGTATAAAAACAGTACAGCCAATATTATAACGTATATTTTACAACTTTATTTATTCTATTTATTTTTCAAATTACGTTTTTTTTTATCATGTTAAAATTATGATTATAAATGTCCATAAATAAATTTCAGTAAATTAATATCCTTTAGTTCCTTCTTACAACACAAGTGGATATTTCTCTAGTTGTCTCTGCATTTTTAAAAGTGGAATACATGTAAATGAATGCAAATTAATAATGTTATTTTCCAGACATAAACCACAAACAAATGACATTCTCCGCCTTTGGTTATTTATTGGCACAGTCTCACTGTTTTCAGTGTTGTGGAATATAATAATAATAAGAATAACAACAAAGGATATGTCTAGAAAGGTCAGTTTTGGATATACAGGTTATGTCGATATTTGGTAGACAATAAATGGTTACTATACTGAATATTTGTGGTTGTCTTGATTATTTTTTTTACAATAATGATACAAGTGATTAGGGCTAGCATCAAGTTCACATTTTTAAAACAAGGACATTGTTACCAAATCTATGAAATCCAGTGGGTGGCCTTTGCTTTTCATAACCTTTACTCTCATTTAGCTGACCGCTCCATTCGCTCTCTAGCAGCTTGAACAGACACCAACACGGTAGTAAGTTTTATCTGTGGTGTCTGTTAACACTTGAGATGACTGTAACATGCTCTGCGACAAATTCCTTTGCCTCAAAATCATTTCTCCATCCGCAGCCTCACAGGTGGGTTCATCTTCAGCAAGTTCTCTGGAGTCATCTTCACTCTCCTCCACCCCCACGTCTGGAATGGATTCTTCCACCTCCACTGAATTGCACCCTATGGCATCGACATTTTTTCTCTTGATTTTAATGTGCACTGATCATTTTCACTATTAATTTGACGTTTCTGTATATTACTTCCAGTATATGAAGTAAATTTTAATTACTTTTAATTACTACATGGGTTGCAATTGATTTTAAAATTTCAGTGAATAAACCAGGCTTTACCTGGTGCATTTCCTTCATCCTGGGGTTCAGACTGATCATTCAGGTCATCTGGTTCATTATTTTCCTCTTGTTGCATAACAGCCTGAAGCAAGGAAAACACCGTATGAAAAAATGTTGTTAACAGACATTCGCAGAAGAAACACAAAGCCACTATTTCAAGGCTAGAATGCCCATAACATACTGGATACAAGTATGTGAAATCAAGTACACAAGCTAGATTTCACACCACACAGTGCAATCCAAAAATGTGTTAAAGTGTAATTCATAAGACAAAGCAAATGCGTGTTACATTTTATCAGTGTTGATCAGTGCGGCATTAGAATGTAATGTTCAGTTTTTTTTTCCTCAAAATTCAGACTTTGTTCCTCAGAATTCTGAGTTTACATCTTGCAATTAATTGTTTTGTTTTTTGTTTTTGCAATTTTGTTTGTTTATGCTACTGCTACAGATTAAAAGTGTAATTGCAAGTTTTTATCTCACAATTCTGACTTTTCTTAGATTTGTGGGTTACCATTTTGCAATTCCGAGTTTATACGAAAAAAAGTCTGAATTGTGAGATATAAACTCTGAATTATGAGGGAAAAAAGTCTGAATTGTGAGATAAATGTCACAATTATCTTCATTTTTTTTTTTATCGGCAAAAACAAGCTTTCATACATTTGTACTCCCTTGAGTACTGAGGTTTGAAAAGCCTCATTAATGATTAATGCATTACATATTTATAAGCATTCACATCTAAGTTTGCATACTTTTGTAGAGTATGCCCTTGGCCAGTGTCTTGTATATTGAACATTAAATGCTCAATTTTAGAGAAGCGTACCTTTCCACGAGTCCTGCGACCACCCAGATTAAACTGCAGGAAGCTGAGGATGATGATCAAACTGAGGAAAGTAAAGTTACTCATCACCCCGATCAGCGCTGATATCAGGGGGAAGCGATACAGCAGGTACCTGTGCAGATCAGAGAGATTCGTAAAGACCTCATCATCTGTTTGATGAATGTTGGGCTGATTATCTCAAACACAGAGCACATTATTTAAAGTAACAAAATATGGGAAAATGTGAGGACTTTTTAAGCAACCCAGCAAAAAGACAGGAATACACAAAACACAAACCTGATGCCTGTAAAGTGAGCGAAGATGTAGAGATGAGCTCTGTAGATCTGAATATGCTGGGAATGGATCTCAATGATGGCTCCAACAGTGGGGTTGTACTGAACGGAGAAAAGAGAGAGAGAAATATACCAAATGAGCTCTAAAATTTAGTTCCACTTCTCATATACTGTAGATAAGCTGCTAAAGGTGTTCTAAGTAGTTTTGCAGTGTTTCTATGTGGTTGCTAGGGCATTCAGAACCATGACTCACAGAATCATCTTTGAATTCAGAGTACAGCTCCACTATGACTGACTGCTTCTGCTCCGATGCTCCTGTTAACAGCATGGGGGAGAAGACCACTGTGCCCAGAGCCTGAAGAAGAGAGGAGCGATAATGGAGCATTGCCTGAGACACACACAGAGAGAGAGAGAGAATGGGAGTCGATCTGACAAGATACCATAGATGCATTGTGAAAACAAAATGTTCTAAACGGGTTCAGAAAGATACCAAGACTCGCCCTGGTGAACCTACATTTTGCAACAGTTACTTAATAGGAAATGTCATGTGAAAATGATAATTCTGTTATGGAAAAGCACCATAAAATGACTTGTGTGCTATATTCGAAGTCTCTTGAAGCCATTTGACATGAATAATGTGAGTACAGGTGAGTAAATGCTTATAGAAATGTCATTTTTGGGTGAACAATTCCTTTTAAGCATTAAACGAATTTGACTGGTTGATCTATCAAGAATTGATAATCTATCAAGAAGCACACATTTGATGTACACTTTGAACTTAAAATGCTTTTTTTGTGTGTGTACATGTCTCCTCGTTTACATACTTACAGAACGTGCCGATATGTCAACAATCTGACCAGCTTTAGAATAGGGAGTCATTTTTACTAGGAACATTCCCAGCTCCCGATTGGCTGGAGACTCAGGCATTTCCAGCTCTAGTGTGATCTGATAAGGCTGACCGTATGTCATTACCTGTAGTAGGCAGGAAAGAGAAAAACAGCATTGCAATCCTTAGTAAAAAAGTAATATATTTAAAATACATTTATTTCATACTAAGTATAGTTCAAATCTATTAACATATTTACTGACATGTTGCTCAAGACTTATAGATATAATAATTATAATTAAACTTTATTTGGAGAACTACTTGTGCACAATGCACTTTCTTAATTTTAAGCATAAAATGTGTTTTAATGTCACTATTGATGAGGATTGTATGATTTTTGAATAATATTGGTCTTTAAATGCAAGATATTTAAAGTGTACCTAAAGTATAATTGCAATAGTTCCAGTTTAGCACAATCAAATATACTTCAGTATATCTTTAGTTGGACTTAAGCACTACTTCCGCACAATTAAAGTGCATTAAGTACAAAATTAGTTGTTCCAATTTATCAGACTTTAAGTATACCAGTTTAGTATACTAAAAGTTCAATTGCAGGGTATTTTTATTAAGTACAGGTATATAGTTGACTTAATAAGATTAAATAAATTTATTTAGTGTATTTATTTTTCACTAGGATAATATACTACTAAAGCAGTTTTTTATGTCCACTGTGCATAGTATGCAAATATTCTTTGTCCACAAATATTCTGACTGCACAATATGTGCAGCATGCAACCTGAGCTCAATGTATAATACTAAGTAAAGTGATGTCAACCTTTATTTTTAACAAAAGGGGTCATATGATGCGATTTCAAGTTTTCCTTTCTCTTTGGAGTGTTACAAGCTGATTGTGCATAGATAAGATCCCTGAAGTTGCAAAGACTAAAGTCTCAAAACCAAAGAGATATTCTTTATCAAAGTTAAGACTCTGCCACTCCCCCCTAAAATGGCTCGTTCTAACACGCCCCCACATATCTACCTCACTATGTGGAAATATTAGCATAATGCTGCCCAAATGTTCACGCAAAGAAAGAAGGCGTGGTTTCAGTAACCGCAGTTAGTGTTGAAGCAGCCATGTCAGGGAGACGCTGTGTGTTTCAGTGCGAAAGCAAAAGCACTTTATTTTATGAGGGGCCGATTCACTAAGTATTTAGTGACTTTATTGTTGTAAAAACTCTATAGCGTATGCATTTAAATCATTAAATGTGTATAAGTCTGAAAATACAGAACCCTATCAAATGCTCAATTAATCATAAACATTACATTAGAAAAATTAAAACATTAAACATTAATACATTAGAACATAAAATAAATTCAAACCATCATGCCGACAACTACTACTGCAGGTAAAACCAGTGAAGACACTGTTTTGGATCAAGTGCACTAGAATAAGCTAATTTTACAAATTATTGGCAATACCTTAAAATAACTTGTTAACTACTGCACTAAATTGATGCAACATGAACAAAGAATAAACAGTATCACAATACTTACAATTTTCATTCATGCATTTTTTTACATTAGAGATTGTATTAACAATTCACA